TTCTTCAATCTGATACCCAGAAGTGTAAAGACACATCCCCAATCTAGTGATAAGAAATTGCACCTCAACTCTGCCATGACACTGTCCTGCCTAAGCCTTGAGAATACTTCAACTGAAGGTCTCCAGGTGCTTAAAACTTCCAGCAAAATGACTTAGCCTCAGATACACAAATTCCAATGCAGAAATACAAGAAATATGAAAAAAAAATGACAAGACTCCTGCAAAACCTAACAACTCCACAGTAACAAACCCTAGCAATAGTAAAGTGAATGAAATTTTGGGCAAATTTTTTAAAAAATGATTTTAAGCCAAGCGCCAGTGGCCCACACCTATAATCAGGTACTCAGGAGGGAGAGATCAGGAGGATCGCAGTTTGAAGGCAACTTGGGCAAATAGTTCACAAGACTCTTTCGCAAAAAAATCCCATCATAAAAAGGGGACAGATGGAGTGGCTCAATATGTACGCCCTGAGTTGAAACCCCAGTACTGACCGCAAAATAAATAAATAAATGAAAATTATTTTAAGACTGACTGATGAAATTAAAGAGGACACAAATAAATGCCTGAATGATTTCAAAGAGAACCGAAAAAACTGAATGAAATAAAAAGAGGATTTGGGACCTGAAAGAGGAATTCAAGAAAACATATAGAATTTCTGAGAAAAAAAAAATGAAATTCTGGAAACGAACAACTCAATAAAGCCAGTCACTGGGACAGAGGTGAGGAGGATCCTAGTTTTGAGACCAGCCAGGGCAAAATGTTAGTGAGACTTCATTCTCAAACAAGATGCAGGTAGTTATGGTCCACACCTATAAGCCCATCTACATGGGAGGCCATAGGTAAGAGGATTATGATCTGAGGCCAGCCCTAGGGAAAAACACAAGACCCTTCTTGAAAACTAATAAAAACCCAGAAAATCCTTAATAAGTAAAAACAAACACTTGAAAGTGTCTCCACTCCACCAGACTGGATCAAATTGAAGATAGAATATCAGGATTTGAAAACAAAGTACATGTGTTACAACATTCAAATGAAAATAAGGATTAAAAAATAATGAAGTACAAAGATAACATCCAAGAACTCTCCAACACCATTAAAAGACCAAACCCATGACTCATAAAGTACAGAAACATATTCAGTAAAAAATACAGAAAACTTCCAAATCTTGAGAACGAGATGATCACCCAGGTTTTTAGAGACTTTTATAGCTCCAAGTAGACAAAACCAGAAAAGTTCTCCAGTGCATACTATAATTAGGCCTCCAGAACAAGGAAAGAACCCTGGAAGCTGCAAGAGAGGAGCAGCAAGTCACCTGAAAAGGAAAACCTATCAGAATAGCACAACTTTAAAAACAACAACATGGAATGATGTCTCTCAAGCCATGGCAGAAAGTTAAGTGACAACCTAGATTATTGTATCCAGCTAAACTATCTCTCATAATTGAAGAAGAAATAAAAACCTTCCATGATAAATAAAAACTAATGCTGACTGCAGTGCTTTAGTCTATAATCCCAGCTTCTTGGGAGGTATAGAAGGACAGAAATTCAAAGCCAAGTCCTGCAAAAAGTTACCTAGATGCCACCTCAACAAATAAGCCAGGCATTGTGACACTTCTATGTGGAACCAAACTACATGGGAGGCATAGGATCATGAGCCAGAGCAAACATGATATAAACTGGAAAAAAGACAGCTTCTTCAACAAATAGTGATGGGAAACTGGATACCCACATGTATAAGACTGAAACTCAATTACTGTCTTTCACTCTGTACAAAAATTCAGTCAAAATGGATCAATACCACTCAGTATCATGGGTATAAAATTGTATTTCATTCTGTTCCACAGATTATTTTACTAGATTTTTCTTTTGCACTTTATTGACTTATTCCACTTGTTTGCAAATATTATGCAGAAGACTACTGGTTTTATTTTAATGTTAATTTGCTAGGAACTTTGCTGAACACTTTCATTCAGCAGTTTCACTTGAAATTAAAACACAGGCAACTGTTTCTCTTTAAAGTATGAATATATTTGTCTCTTTTCAATTATTACAGATCTTTTCCTTTTATTTTACTTTTTTGTTTGGGCTTTTGTTCTTTTTTTGTTTGTTTCAGTCAATCAGCTAAGGGGTCCATTGGAGCGAGAAATGAACAGTAATGGTAATAGTTGGTACTGGAAATACATATACATTTTGCTATTAAAAATGACCTGATGTAAACTATAGATTTTGGGGAGATAATTTTTCCTGGGCTAAGAAAATACACTCTTATTCCCTATTCATCAAAAGGTTTTGTTCATCATGAACACCAACTATATTTTATCAAAAGATTTTCCTAAAGACTCTATATCAATATCAATTTAGGTAATATATGGTTTTTTCTTCCATTACTATGATTATTTGGTGCATTATAGAGCCAGATTTTCTAATATTAAAACATCCTTGAATTCCTAAGATAAAACTTTAAGGTCTTAAAATTTTACTGGCCTCAAATATTTGGGTTCAGTTGATATTCTCTACCATTGTTTTTTCCTATTTAATTTCCATTTGTACTTTTACAGGGAGACGGGGAGGAGGGGAGTTGAGGGTACTGGGCAGGATTGAGAGTTTGAAATCAGGACTCTGAGCTTGCCAGGCAAGCCCTCTACCTCTTAAGCAACACCTCCAGTCCTTTTTGCTCTGATTATTTTGGAGATAGGGTCTCACTGTTTGCCCAGGCCATTCTAAGCCCCAATCCCCTTTTTTAGGAATTCTACCATAGCTTAGATGACAGGTTATCACTACTGCAACCAGATTTATTGATTGAGATGAAGGCTCTTCAACTTTTTGCCTAGGCTGGCCTTGAACCACAATCCTCCCAATCTTAGCTTCTCATGTAGCTAGGATTACCAGTGTGAGCTACTGGTGCCCAGCTCCATTTCTACTTTCATTATTGCTTTTTTTCCTAATTAATTTAAGTTCATTGTTTTTCTTTTGCTAGCTCCTACTGCTGTCACTTAATTATTAATACAATTAAGACTACATGGCTCTCCTAGTTGTACTTAGTGGGCCCAAGTTGTTCCACTAACATTACTTTCACTAACACATTTCAACTCTATATAATTTCCCCTTTGACACAAGTTATTTCAAAGCATCATTTTATTATTTGCAAATATAATCCAACTGGAATTGATTTTATTGTGTATTTCAACATTAATTGCATTAAAGTCAGAGAACATGATCAGTCTTTGATGAAATCTTTCATAACTTTCTGTCAAAACTGCCTCAATATTCTATAGTTATAAGTATACTCTTTATAGCTATGTAATTATGTTCACTTCTCTTGCTCATTTCTGAGAACTCTGGATCTAAAGAAATATCACCAAAATTATCTTTTCAAAAACCGTGTCTCTTTTATTCCCTCTGATCTCTTCCCCTGGCATGTTTTTGACCCATTCAATCAATACCAAATTCAGAAAACAGTTCTTCCACATTTTTTTACCTCTTTCTTTCTCTGGGCTACATTCTAAGTGAATGCCTGAGAACATGAATTTTTTAATATTTCATTTGATGGAACATTTTTCCTCGTTGTAACTACTGAATTTTTATTTTAATAATTTATTTTTAACTTTTAAGACTGATCATTTTTCATATCTGTCCTTGTTTCATTTATTCTCTGTTTTGTATGATAGAATTTCTCTCATTCTTCTGGCATCTTAAACGTACTTGTTCCGTTTATTACTCATCCATCCCGACATAATGTTTTTGTGATTACCTCTGCTCATATTCAGCATTCCATCACAGACCCAGACCTATAACTGTGAGCTTTGAACTTTTTTAATAGACAATTTCACAGACCTTGTTACCAATCAAGATTACAGACCCTTTAGTTCGAGGCTGATTATATGGGCTATATTTGTCGTCTTTTCCCCTTATTCCTTGATTCCCTCAAATGGCATTTTGAAATAGATTATCCTCTAAAGTAAGTCTCTTTTGAGTGTTTAAGGAACTCTTGTTAATAGCTGCATGGACAATAAGCACAGTTGGGAGTTTCAAGGACAACTTGAGACATACAAGTAGTAAGACTAAAGTTAGGTGCGAGCTTCATGAAATAAGCCTTCATCTATTCCTCCATTCTTCGTGAAGTACTTCATGCCTTCTAACACACAAGTGTCAAATTCCTGGGTACAGGTTCCACTTCTCTATTCTAAGCCACATCCTGTTAATCACTTTCAAGTTTTCTTCTATAAAAACCATAGAAATACTGTGTTGCTTTCAAAACTCATGATGTATGTTTACATTTCCCTACCCCTGCCCTGCCCTCCCCCTTTTTGAGACAGGTTCTCACTATGTAGCTGAAGATGACCTTGAACTCACAATCCTCCTGCTTTACCCTCTCAAGTGGTAGGATTATAGATATTTAAAACAATACCAGGCTTTATTCTTTTCAATAGTTTATCTATTGCTACTTTATGTTTAAAGTGAGAATGCACTAAACAGTGAAATTACTATGACAATGTCAATGGAAGATCCTTGTCAAATTTTTAAACACGTATTCCCTTTGCTAAGCAACAATTTTCAGAAATTTGTTGTGAAACACTACTGTATTTCCATTTCAAATGTCTATATAAAAATGTTAAAAACGTACTATGTTGAACAGAATAAACTGCAAGCAGCCAATTAACTTTTAAATAAATCAAGACTCAGCTATGTTAGGGACAAGTTCATAAATATTAAAAATTGGCAGGTAAAAATCATAGGGAAAAATGCCACCAATTGAGTCTTGAGTCAAAAACTAAGTAACAAAAGTTTGCTGATTAACCTGAATATACCAAGTAAGGGAAAAAAAATATACTACGAATAATAAATTCATAGTAAGGAGAGGGGAAAGGAAGGGAATGGATGGGAGCCAAGGGGAGGGAAAAAAGGTGAATGATGTGAAATGTTAGCATACACATTAACAGATTCCACATAGGTTATTGACTAGCTTGATTTATACAAGAAATAAAAATACTTAAAATTTACCTGCATTGCACTTTTCCCCAGTTTCACCACTTCAAATAATGTGACTGGCTCCCCTTCACCATTTTGTTGAGGGTGCCCATTAGCTCTTCCACGGCCTGATCCTCTAACTCCAGCTTCAATTCTGCTCTTCTCTCCTGGAGATTTTCGAGGTTTCTTATTTGTAGACTGAATAAAAAGATAAAGAAAACTTACACAAGATGCACACTAACTTCTTGCTTTATACAAAATGGTATCAAATCATGTTTCATCCTTTGAAAGGTATTTAGCACTACTACAGGTAAAATATAAATCTCTTAACAGAATCAACAAAAAAGCTTTATAATTTGTTTTCAATGATTAAAAAACAGTGCAAACAGCAAGCACAGGTAAGGTATGAAAATAAAGTTTAAAGATCGATTCTTTTATACAATAATGTCAGTGCTGAATGTTTGAACCTTGCCCACTCTTGACAGTTCTTGCTTTTATACCCTCCTCAACACACTCCTACTTCCTTTAGAAATCTTGTTCAGTAAAACAATCCTTGGAAATGCTCTATGTTCAACTTTGCCCTCTACTGAAGAGCTCAAGCATTTCTAAGTCATGCAACAAATGCACAATGAACGTACTTAGAACCATTCTTTGTAGTGGGGATGTAACAATAAATAAAAGTTTTATTTTTTAGTTGACATACCAACCACTACCCTAAATCTTTTCACAGGTAATACTAGTTACTACTTTATCTAAGTCTCACCTTTAGAACCAGGATAATTTGGGAAATTTGTTTGTACTTGTTTTACCCAATCCCATAAATTTTATTCGTTCAAATATAAACACAGTGCATGGGTGCTGCTTCACCAAACTCACCAATGAGATCAATGTTGCTAAATGTAACAGACATTTCTTGAAACTCTTAACAGGTCACATGATTTTTTTTCTTTCCTGACAGACTATCTTCCCCCTTCTTGTCCTATATTCCTTAGTTATTAGTGCTACCCAAACATGTCTTTTCAGCATCTTTTCTTCTCAGTCTAGTCTTTTTAGAGTAATTTAATTCACTTTCCTGATAGCCCTGTCACAATGATAAATTGACTGCCCCTTATCTCCAAATCTACCCTTTTCTTCCTTTGTAAACTGGAGCTGGACCCTGAAAACATCACTCTGTTGCTATCTGCTGCAGTAGCAGACTTTATAAATAGAGGGCACTGGAGGAACACTGCAAAGCATGGGGGGAGGAGGTTCTGTACCAGGTTACTTGCGCCATGTTCTAGCAATTCCTATGCTCTTCATTAGTACTCTTTTTTCATTTCTCTTAGCAGTTGTGGCCTTAAATTCAATTTTGTATGTGGATTAATACACAGTGAGTTAATTGCCTAATTTTAAAATAAGTTTTATTTTTAGACAATTTTAGATTTACAAAAAAATTTTTAAAAATGTGAAGACAATAAAGAGAACACCCATATACTTCATATCTGGTTACCCCTATTACTAACACCTTACATTAGTATGGTACATTCGTTACAATTTATGAACTGCTAATAGACACTCACAAAAGTCTGTATTTCATACAGATTTGCTTATTTTTTGCCTTAATGATCTTTACCTGTTCCAGGAGCCCATCTGGGATACCATCTTACATTTAATCATCAAATGTTGCCCCATGAAGCTCGTTAGTGACAATTTCACAGGTTCTCCTGATTTTTGAGACTTCAGCAGGTTTAAAGAATATTAATGAGCTATTTTCCAAAAGGTCCCTCATTGGAATTGGTCTGATGATTTTATCATTACTAGACAAGGATTATGGGTTTGGGGAAAGAGGAAAGGAGAGGTAAAGTGTCATTTATATCACCCGTCAAGTCAAGGATACGTATTATCACCATGTTGTGGCTGGCCTTAAACAATTAGTGCTTGTAAGGTTTCTCCACTGTAAAATTACATTTCTTCCCTTTTCCATACTGTACCCTTTGGAACAAAGTCACTACACATAGCCCACACTTAATGGGTGAGGAATTAAGCTCCACCTCCTTGAAGAATACAATATTTACATAAATTATTCAAAATTCTTCCACATGGAACATATGTCTATTCTCATCCCTTTACTTATTCAATCATTTCAGGCAACATTAATTCATCATTACTTTGTACTGTAGGTTATAACTGTCTCAAATTGCAATAGCTTGGCCACTAGGAGTCCTTGCAGCTGGCTCCTGTACTCATTTGACACATCCCTATCATTGTGTGGGGGTTTTTGTTTGGTTTAGTTTATGGCACTTACTGGTACTACAAGATGCTCCAGGCTTGCCTTTTATACTCACTGCCCCAATCCTAGAATTAAACCAATGCTACAAGAAGAGTTGGTACCTTTTACTGTAAAATATTAGAGATAAAGATCTGAACACTAAGATTTTGCCCCTTGTTATAGGGGTATATTTATTTATATATATTTATTTACTGAAAGGAGTATGTGTCTGGTACATTACACGTAACAAAACTCACTCTTTATATTATACAGTCCTATGGATTTTGGAAAATGCATAGTGTTTTATGTGCGCAATTATGGTAACAGTGAAGAGTTTCACCACCTTTAAAAAAACTGTGCTTCACACATTCACCTCTTCCCTCTTCCCACCACTGTGCATTTCTAAAAATCATCATAGGTTTGTCTTTTCCAGATATTTAGGAAAAGGAATCATATAGTATAGAGCCTTTACAGAGTGACAGCCTTGACTTGAATAACAGGCATTTAAGATTTATCAATGGTTTATTACACCACTTTCATTTCACTGTAATAATATACTGCATTTTGATGTTCATTTATGGAATGATGGAAATTTTGATCACTAGTGTTTACCAATTATGAGAAAAGCTGCTAGAAACATTCACAAGCAATTATTTGTGTGGATGTAATTCTGAAATCAGCTGTGTAATGTTGAGTACAAATGTTCAGAAAGACTAAGTCTACCTTGTATGAAATTGTCAAATTGTTTTCCAAAGTAGCTGTGCCAATTTGCATTCCCATCAACAATGAATGAGATTTGCTGTTGCTTCAGATCCTTGAGGAAATTGGCAGTGTCAAGTTTTTGGATTTCAGCCATTCTGCCATACTTTTTTTTTTTTTTTTTTCTGGTGGCACTGGGGCTTGAACTCAAGGCCTCACACTTGCTAGACAGGTGCTCTACCACTTGAGTCATTCAGCCAGCCCAGATTTCAGCCATTCTAACAGGTACACACAGTATCTCATTATTGTCTTACTTTGCAACACGTAAATGACAAATAAATAACTCTTTGTATTAAATGTTCTCTGTTTGAAGCCAAACACAGTGGTTCATGCCTGTTATCCTAGCTACTAGGGAACGGAGATCAGGAGGATCCAAAATCAAGGCCGCCTGGGAAAAGTTAACAAAACCCCATCTCAACCACTAAAAAGCTGGAGATGGTCACATGGACCTGTCATTCCAGCTACACAGGAAGCATAAATAGGACTGCAGTTCAGGTGAGCCATGGCATTAACTTGAGATCCTATTCAATTAATTAATTAATTAATTGAGGACTGGCAACGATGCTCAAATGGTACAAACCTAAGCAAGGCCCTGAGTTCAAACTCCAATAATTCCAAGAACAAAACAAAAAAGAAAAGAAAAAAGAAAAAAAAAAAAAAAAGCAACAACAACAAGAACATTTCTCTGTTGGAATTACTGGTGGAGATTATATCTCCTGACTGGATACTAACTAATTCTCTTTACTGTACATGCAGATGCAGTGTCCAACATACTAACCATAAGCCTCAGCATACAAAACATCTCATTAACAACTTCATATTACATGATGAAATTACAGTCTAATATTAAAATTCATCTCACTCTAGAAATTTCTTAACTGCATATGTGGCTCCCATAATATTTTCTTTGAACACTACCATTCAATTCTAGTGCTGTAATTTCAGTAATCCTTATAACACAAACTTAAACCCTTCAATTCCTTGTTTGTTTAATATCTAGACTTCAGTGGCTCTCATTACCATCGCCTTAAAAGTCCAAACTCCTTGAAATGACAAATAAGGCTATCACTTACCATCTACTCAATCATCTAACACATCAGACACCTGTTTACAGACTACAATTCTGCATATTGATCAATTTAAAGTTGTTTGAAAATATAATTTTGGGGGAGGGAGGGGAGATCCTGGGGTTCAAACTCAGGGCCTAGAGTTTGAAGGGCAGGTGCTCTACCACTTGAACCATGTCCTCAGTCCTTTCTGCTTTAGTTATTTTTCAGATAGGATTTCATGCTTTTTTCCCAGGCTGGCCTTTAACCAAGATCTCCTATCTCTGCCTCCCACGTAACTGGGATTACAAATATGTACCACCATGTCTGGCTTCTTCTTCGACATACGGGCTTGTTAAACTTTTGACAATCCTGGCCTCAAACTGCAATCCTCCTATTTCTACTTCCCCAAATAGCTGGGATTACAGGTGTGAGACACCACCCTTGGCCTTTGAAAACAAAATTGTTTAATGATCCTATCTAAGGAATCTTAAGCATGTGCTCAGAATAATAGGTATATGTTTAGATTAATACTTATCTTCTCAGTAGCCTTTGTATGAAGAGTGGAGGTTAAACAATGTTATTTTTATTTACTGACTACGTAATACATTCACACCATTCAAAATTCAAAAGGTGATGTTAGTTACACAATAAGAACTTGTTTTCCTAACCCTGTCACTAAGCCACAAACTTCCATTACTAATAAGCAATACCTACTTTTTTTCCCATGTCCTTCCAGGGACATTTAAACACAGAGAAAACAAACTTGTGTGTATCCATATATCTATTACAGTTTATTATCTATACAAGGCTCTGTACCATTCTATTTTCAGAATCAATGCATTTTGTACTCAAATCTATAGCAATACCTAGAGGATGTTTTCATTCTGTCTTGAAAGCTGTTTTCCATTGCATAAATGTACATGAATTTATATAGCCATTAAACTACCAATGGACATTTCTTCCCAATTTGTACTACTACAAATACTGTAATAAATAAACATTTGTATGTGTAGTAAAGTGTGTCACATACACTGGTGTATATACAGTTACATAATTATATATATATATGCACACACACACACACACACACAGAGTATCTATCTAGTATAGTACACAGTATGTATACTACATATACTACACAT